CGCTTGCACTCCAAAATGAAAGGATAAAAATTAAAAAAATTAAAACCTTTCAGAGCCCTCATTTACTGAGCGCTCTGATAAGTTTGAATACTTTTTAAAAAAAATTGAAAAACCTTTTCTAAGTGCTTTATAAAGGAGCGCTCCTGAAGGGACATAAAAAATGGGATATTAAAAAAATCCTCAACCTCTCAGAACGCTTAGAAAAAGAAAGCTCCTAAAATGAAAATAAAAAAATTTTAAAAATAATATTAATTATAAACCCCACCCCCTCGATACCCATTCATCAATACTCTTCAAAAAATAAAAATTATTAGCCCTTTGTCTCTCTTCACTCTCTCTTTAAAGTTGACATATTATCTACCCCCATCACCCATGCCATTGTCGAAGGTCCTCACTGGAGCACGATACATGTTTCGCCATCGTCTATCGTCACTCCATCCATCTTCTCCATTTACAAAAGCCAAAGGGTCGTGATTCAAATCTGAATCGCATATGTCTTCTAAGCTTCCTCTCACCATTTTACCGTTGATGGTGCTTCTTCCCTGCTCTATTGCTTCCTCGATCTGAACTCTATGTAAAGAACCATTCTCTTTATTGTCATTCCCTACAAGTATCCATCCCTTTTTTGCTTGAGCGTTGCGATGAGCATCTCTATCAGTAGCCAAGAGCAACATCCATTATAGTTAAGTGAGTGACAACTCTATCATTCCCCTTCTTTTCTAAAACGACGGTAAGGGTTCTTCCTTTCTAATCATGTAAGTGTTTCTTGTGATTTCTTCCTAATTTTATGCATTATCTTTTCATATATGAATTGCTTTTGAATCGTGGTATGTTTAGTTTTCAATCCAATTATTTCTTTATTGGCTGGTAGTTTGTTTTAGCTTTTTGTCAAATTCATTCTATCTAATTTTGGTTCAAGAGGTAACGACAAATCCTCTCATTACACGAGCAAATCTTGAGAGTAAAAGATTTGATAAACCATAACTAATGAGTGTGTTCACTTGACTGTAAGGGAAGGATTGAATATTGGCAGCGTTGAACCCTTAGACTATTTATGAATAGTTACTTGAGGCTGAGATTGTATAACATCTGTGGACTATGATAAATAGGAAATACGAATAATACCTTTTTGCTTATAATTCTAAGTGGGCATAACTAATGATTAATTTGAGAATGTGAGAGTAAATTTGGTAGAATTATTTATTTTCTGGTTAAGAGAGCATATATTTTAGAAGAAGTATACAACTTTTTAAATTTATGTACAAACTCCTCTATTTCTTGTAGTGTTTTACCGATTACTTATTGTCTATAGTTAAGCTAAAGTTGCTAGATAGCAAAGAAAAGGAGTTGGTTCTTGGTTGACTATTTATCACTGATGTTTTCTTATCTTGGTATTTCCTATTATTATTATGTATCACTCATTTGAGTTGATTTTGCATTCATTTTTTTGTGAATATTTTGTATTTATATTTGTGAGCAAGGTGGCCAAGAGTCAACTAGTAAAAATTACTCTATTTATCAAGCCATAGCAGTAATTTTCCTATAGACGTGATTGTCATTTAGAGCATTCTTATAGGATATAACCTTATTTCAAGTTGAATCACTTCTAGATAGTATGAAATGGGATAGCAAAGGTTTAGTAATGGTAATAGCTCAAAATATGAACATGGGAGCCATTCTTATACAAGGTTTTACCAACAGAGATGCTATAGTTGCAACTATATCATCTCGCAAGGCAACATTCTATAGTTGGTCACAATCAACATTATGGACAAAGGGAGAGACCTCTAATAATTTTACTAATATTCATGATGTCTTCCTTGATTATGATCATGATTCTGTAAGATCCTTTTTTCCTCTCCATACTAAATTGTTTTATTTTGACTTTAATAGTTCTCATGGAATGTAATCACTTTTCTTTTGTAATAATGTCTTTTAAATTATATACATTGGGAAGCTTGAATGGCCAACCTATCACATTAGATTAGAGACATGCTATTATATATCCGCCTTTGACTTGTTAAAAAAGCAAGAGGTTAGCTTGAATCAATCAATCATTGCATTTTTAATAACCAATTGATTCACTAATTTGGGTTGAATAATAATCTTGTCTCTTTTAGTTAGTCCTTTTTCAAACTTTTAGAGCTTGAATAATAATACTCCATGAAAAGACTCGAGGAAGATATAAAAAATCAGAGGAGGGGATCTTATAGTATAAAAAAATTATTGTTTCATCTTATCTAATCAAAAGATAGGTAAGTTTTGGTTTTTGTTTGATAATATCATATATTAAATAATTGTACCAAAAAATTATGTGTGAAGTTATTTGTGTTGAAATATTAAATTGTAAATAGTATGATTAGTATCTAACTATATATATATATATATATATTTTATATTATTTATGTTATCTAGACTTTTGTTTTGTGCATTTTTTTCAGGTTGGCATTATTATAGAATACAATTTTATTCGTTTTAGATATTATTTTTGCTCTTATAGTCCAATATTTAGTAGATTAGATTGGATTACAAATCTATGTACTAATTTTGTGATTAGAGTGGTTGATTCAGATTGTAGCTACCAAACTCAAAAACATTGTATTTTATTAAATTTTAAATGAAAGTTCATTATTTATTGTTTTATGGTGTTTAAATTTCAAATATTGTACATCAATTTATGAATCATGTAATATTGTAAAACAAAAATGATTGTTTAAAAAAAAATTGAGCCTACGAGAGTGCTTCAATTTAAAAGCACTTTGGTAGGTGGATTTATGGGAGTGCTTATACTTAGAAGCACTCTGGTAAGTCCACTTACGAGAGCGTTTCTTAAAAAATGCTCCTACAAGTCTTTTTTTTTTTTATTTGTATGGGGATGCCTATAGGGGTACTTTTTACAAAGCAATCTCGTAGACTATTCCTATAATGCTCCAAAACATATAAGAGTGCTTTTGAAGCCTCTTGTAGGGAACATGAGTGCTTTTGAAGCACTCCTGTATGTTCCAGAGCGCTAGCTACAAGGGCTCTTTTGAAGCGCTCCCGCAGATGAAAAATAAGCACTTCAAAAAATTTTTTTGTAATAGTATACTTTTCCTTTCATTGCCTCACACTCACCACCTATACCTCTACTTCCATCACCAGTGCCCTTTGACTTAACAAGATGATGGGGTTCAATATGACTTTCACAATTACCTTTAACTTCTACAAAGTCATTGGTGCCCATATACTTAACACACTCATCATCCTCATCTTTAACGTACTCAGATATCTCAACTTCAATAGCTTGAACGATAGGCACATACTTCGATATCAACTAAGTGATTACCTTCTCGTATGGCTCTTTGCGTCTCTTCACTTACTCTATGAGGTCATCAATATAATTTCAATCAATACCACCAGGTTGCAAATGAATATTTGGAAATGCCCCTCCATTATTATCCTCTCTAGAACACTTAACTCATCTTTGAACCCAGACCCATGTATAGACATCTTTAACAAAATAAACAAAATAGGGTTTTAGACTATAAAGATTGCTTTCCTTACTTGGAAATCGACTGCGGACAAAAGATGTGGAGCCTTCAATTGGGACAAAAGAATCATCTATGACATTCAACACAATGTATGCAAAGCTCAAGCCAGAGATTCAATGTCCTCTTTTAACTTTTTTGCCTTCAAGCCCTTTTTGACTTTTTGGAATTTTGAGTGATTAACCTAAAAACTCATTCAATTTCAAAGAAAGTTATTTAACTCAAGCCCTCTTCGACTTTTTAGAAAATTTAAGCTAGGCAATTTCCATTTGTGTATCTCTAAGCCAAACAATTTCCACTTATGTACCTCAACACATGTCACGTTGAGCTAACGTGGCTGCCAAATCACCACATTCCGGTTGAAAAATGCTTGCTAATGGTCAACATTCTAGATCCGTTAAAATGAGTCGGCATTGCACATTTGACAAACTTTGATGGCAGCATTATCCTTTTTCTTGGTTTAGGGTGGTGGACTCACCTGTCAAGATACTTTTGGGGCAAATTAATATGCACCTTCACTCTAAAAGAAACTCTATCTTCTTTTTTGGGGGTGGACTAGATAGTTTATTTGTCGGGATCCCTTCGTCCTTTCACGGTGGCCAGATCGGCCCAAATTAATCAATGCAAACTAAAGCTCGAGTAAAGTCTGCAACGTCATGACTCTTTGACTGCACTTAATTTAGATCCATGATTTGATAATCATATCCTCGCGTAAGCTTGTAAGTTATACCGAATTAAGCTCGTTATCAGATTATTTGCCATCTAGACACGAACATGGCTCGACTGAAAGGAGTGGGAGATGTAGCACTCGTCCGAACTAGCTAGGGACTGATTACCCGTGCGCACATAGATCTTTCATGCTGTATCATAGAGGTGATTTCGGTGATCTTAAAAATGTGTAAAGAGAGTATTTTAATTAATTTGTTTGTTAAAAGGGGCCTGCATATGACAATGCACCCTGATAGAAAAGGATCCCTTCTTTTAATAAATTAAAAGATCTGCAATTACACGTAGAGTTTCGATATTTGGCATACAGTAGAAAGAAGACTATATAATCAATAGCATCTGGCAAGAATCACATACGATCCAGCTTCAAATTAAATACACATATGCATCATGGATGCAGTGCCAGGTAGGTCTAATTTTGATCTATATACGTGCGCGCGCGCGCAATGAATTTGATTGGAGCGGGAGCATGCAGCATATATAGTCCTATATCCAAGCATATTCAGGAAGTTGCGCATGAATTAGAAGGAGAGGCGTGGGAAGGATGCGTGTGGAAGAGTGTGAGCATGAACGTGGTAGACGTGGAAGCCCCGCAAGGAGGCATCGAAGGTGGACGAGCCACGATGGTGTTATTCAGACACAACGAACGTGGCACTTTGTGCCACCACATGTATCTCCATCAGCACCCCTATTCCCCTACGACCCCACTTTTCCCAGCTCTATATATTAAATGTCGTCCCTTTTTGCCTATCCGTGCTCATGATTCAAATATTGTCCTATCTGGACCTCATCCCACTTGGAGCGAGCGAGACCTTCCTCCTAATCTAACCATTATATTTATTTGGCGCTTTCTGCTTTCTAGCTCAACAGATATGGGAAGAGCACCCTGCTGTGAGAAAGTGGGGTTGAAGAGGGGCAGATGGAGTGCCCAGGAGGATGAGATCTTGACTAAGTACATTCAGGCCAATGGGGAAGGCTCTTGGAGGGCTCTGCCCAAGAATGCTGGTAATACATTATACATACTTCGCTCTCTTTGAGGTTTTCGAGTCGTTTGTATCTATTCATTGATCTTGTACTGTTGCTCCTGTCTCCTTCGAAGGACTGCTGAGGTGTGGGAAGAGTTGCAGGTTAAGGTGGATCAACTACTTGAGATCTGACCTTAAAAGGGGCAACATTTCTCCTCAGGAGGAAGAGCTCATTATTAAACTCCATTCTTCTCTGGGCAACAGGTTAATAATGTTACTGCTATGGTATATATGGAACTTATGAAACAAGAAGTTAAACCCCCATCAATCTCCTCCTAATTTATTTAATAATAATTTAAAAGGATTTTTTTTTAAGGAAATTAAAGTCTGTATGAAGTTGTTTAATTTTTCGCATTATCCATTTTATGCAAAAAGGCTTACGACAAGAAAACAGCAAAACTACATATTATATATAATTACACACACACATATATAAAGCTCTGTTTTCGAATCTGCTTTTGTTTTTTTGTTTTTTTGTTTTTGTAAGAAATATGTTAACTGGGTTAGTCTTCTCCAGACTACACATCTATACCGTTTAATTTTCTTTTGTAAATATAAGGGCACAATATTTTTGAAAACAAAAATCAAGAAGTGAGAATTATGTGTAATGAAAGAATGAATCAAAATGCAATAACAATCCGAATGCTTGTATATTTAAATACATAGATATGTTCGCGCATGTAATTAACACGAAGAGCTCAGTTATATAATAATAAGAACCCGAGTCGTACGCCGCTAAAGTAATTAAAAGGAGGAAATTGGATCATGCATGGATAACTGCATTCAATAAGACTGTGCTGGAGAAAGTGCACAAAGGAGGCTAAGAGTCTTGTTGGAGCTGGAATATGAACACGCTAAATTGCAGGTGGTCCCTGATAGCGAGTCACTTGCCAGGAAGAACAGACAACGAGATAAAAAACTACTGGAATTCTCACTTGAGCAGGAAAATCTACGCCTTCAAGAGGCCGGTTGTTACGGATCAGACTAAGCAAGCAGCTGTGACCACGGACACAGTCACAGCCAAGCCGGCAAACAATAGTACAGCAACCAAGCGCAAGGCTGGCAGAACCAGCCGTTGGGCCATGAAGAAGAACAGAAGCAACAACCAAGAGGCCAAGGAGAGAACGAATCATAACAACGTAGCAGCAGTTACAGTGCCACCCACGCCGTCACTAGAGGACGAAGGCTTGTCCATAACAAGCGTCATAGACTTCGAGGATTTCATGGCTCTGGATGGTGACAATACGGAAGACAGAGTAGAGAGAGAAGAAGCAGGTGAGCCAAGTAACAATGAAGAAAGCGGAGATGGTTTGTTGAGGTTAGGTGAAGAGAGAGAAACAGAGCAGACAACACTGGAGGGTCTTGAGGAAGGCGTTGATGGTGGTGGGGAGTCATGTCTTAATGACATGGTGGACACTTGGTTGCTGGAAGACGAAGGTGGTGGGCTTTCGAGCTTGACAGGGGGGGGAGAGAGAGATGATGAGGTGTCATGTTTTGATTACACAAGGGCGTCACGAGAGCAGCCAGAGGGTAGCAATAATAATTCTGAAGACTGGTATTCTTGCTCTTCCATGCCTTCCCTGTTTGAATACGATTACTGGAATAATTGGGAGATTGATGTGGACGATCAGTTGATGAATAATAACGAGTCGCGGACATGGGACGATAAACAAATCGTGTCTTGGCTCTGGGAAGACGATGATTGTCAGGTTACTGGAATCGCTGATCCTGATGAGAAGCAAAATCTCAAGCCGCGTTTGATTGTTTCCTGACCTTCATATATGTACTATACTCTTTAGAATGTTCAGTCAAAAGGAAAACTCTTGCCCTGGTGGTTTAGTTAATGGTGACGAGTCAATGAATTAGGTGATAGACTTTGATTTAACTTTAGATTTATTGTAACATTATTGTACTTGACGCTCTGGCTGAGGAGGTGCTGGGTGTGTTACTATCGTGAATAATAGCAGTACGCAGTGGAATTACTGCCACGTACTAATAACTTATATGAGGTTCCATACTTTAATGCTTAATTAGTCTGCCCCACATGCCACTGACGCGTGAAGACTTCCCCGGCAGGCTGCAAAATTAATTATTTCTTCGAGCAATGCGCCTTTTTTTTTTTTCTACAATTAAAAACATGATAATGTAAGTATCTTTTCCATACTGAGATGTGGAAAGATCATGAACAATGGCCCTTCACTAGACAATTAGGTACCAAAATAATAAATTAATGCTAGTTAAATTCTCAATAAAATAAATTATAAATATAAATTTAAACATTTACAAATAAAATTTTTTGTTATAATTTAAGAGTTGTGTTTGATGTTTAAATACTTAATTATAATTAAAAATTTTAAATTTATAATTATTTAAATTAAAATTTTTAATTATTTTTTTTAAATTTATCGAGGAGTTAATTATTATTAGTTCAGAGTTTTATGACTTAACTGTTATTCTTCTAAATTGATAAGTGATTGCCACTAGGAATACGTACGAAGTACGAACCCATACATTGACTCTTTATAATCTTATTGAAAAGTGAAGTGTGGGTTCCGAATAAATTAAATGTACCCTTGTTCCTAATCATGACGTCCAGAGAAAAGATTATTTTTAATTTTATTCATTGAATACTTTATTATTTTTTTATTTTATTTTTTTATGCTCTTATTAAATGTCATAAAAAAAATTTTAAATTTTTTTCTTATTATTAAATATGGAAATAAAAAATTATTAAATTTTAAAATAAAGTTAATAAGGTGTAAGATTTTTTTTTATTTCAATAAAACACAATGAAAGTTATTTATAAATAAGATGATAGGAGGTATCATATATATTGGTCTCCTTTACCACGATTTAGTAGAAAGGTGAAGTTAGGTAGAATCGGTAATTCAAATGAGGTTTAATAAGCTCAAACTTATAAAAAAAAAAATTATATAGTCAAACTCAATCCCAACACTCTCAAGTTTCAATGCTATTCAGGCCGGTCCAAGTGAAATTAATTATTTTTTTAAAAGAAGCAAAGACACTACTATTTTCATTAAAAAATATAAGGTATTTTTTTAAAAACTTAAATATTAAAAAAATGTAAGATATTTTTAGTCTTTCAAGGTATAATCATTGCCTTTTTTTTAAAAGTACCCCTATTGACTTTATATTTATTATAGGGTATTTAATAAGAATAAATATAAAAAAATATGGTTAGTTTAAAAGTAGGTAATTACTTTATTAAGGGGCAAGATTCGATTAAAAATATCTTACATCTTTTAATGAAAGGAATATACTTTTTAAATACTTAAAAATGTGGGATACTCATGTTTTTGTAATCTAAAGGACTAAAAAGTAAGATTAAATTGCATTTAATTGACATTTAATATTTTTAATATATTTTTTAAAATTTTAATAGTTATTCAGTGAATTGCATCCGGTGCTCATCGTTTGTGATGAGCACCACGTGCTCATCAAGGCTAAAAGTAATTTTGACCCTCTATTTTAGCTTTATTTAATCCCTACCTTTTATTTAAATTAATTTTTTAAATATTTTTAATATTATATTTATTAATTTTAAAAGTATAAAAAAATTTAAAATTTATATTCAGTGAATTGCATCTGATGCTCATCGTTTATGATGAGCACCGCGTGCTCGTCAAGGCGAAAAGTAATTTTGACCATCTATTTTAGCTTTATTTAATCCCTACCTTTCATTTAAATTAATTCTTAAATATTTTTAATATTGTTAATTTTAAAAATATAAAAAAATTTACAATTTGCGTGCGCGCGGGCACAGGCGTGTGTGTTACCAATCTAGTCGATACAAAAAAATTATAATTTTATAATTTAACCATACAAATAAACTCTGTATAATTCGGGTATAACTTAAATGACCTAGTTTAATATTAAAAAACTTATAAATTTTATAAATTAACCATTTAAATATACTCTAAATATTCCAAATTTAATATATTTTTTATATTTTTATTTTAATAAATATAATATTAAAAATATTTAAAAATTAATTTAAATAAATGACAGAGATCAAATAAAGTTGAAATGAAGGGCCGGGGTTGCTCTTGACCCTGATGAGCATTCGGTGCTCATCATTATGATAAGCACTGAATGTGGACACGTTATTCAAGTGTCCAAGCCTATAGCTTGGCCCAAATTTTTTGTGGTGCTTTTTTGTTAACTCTAATCATAAATTTGTCAACTTTAACTCAAATTTTTGTTGTTCCTAAAGCTAGGTGGATGAATGATTTATAAAGCTAGGTAGATGAATGATTTATGAACGATGGAGAGATGACATTTTGACTAGTTCCTAAGTCCAACTTCCAAAGACTGAGGGCCCCCTTGGATGCATGACTTTTAGTCTTTAAATATATTTTTACATTTTTAGAATGTAAGATATTATTTGAAAATTTTATGATTGGGCAAAATAATTTTTTGAATGAACATTGAAAAAGCTATTTAAAATGAATTTGAGAACTTAACTTTTTGAAGCTTTTCAAATTAACTTTTTAGTGTTGAGTTTTTGAATTTATTATACTGCCTTTATTCTCTTACAGTATTTATTACGTGCTATATTTTATTAAAATTTAAATTTAGTGCAACAGCTATAAGGCCAAATAGATTATATGAAAAGGTACCTTCTGTATATGAAAAAGAAAGAGAATAATATTTTATAAATCCTATTTATAAGGTATGCCATTTAATATTAATGACTATTGAATTATTTATTATGTAGTTTTTTTCAATGTTAAACTTTATTTTTTTTATTCTTATTATTTAACATGTTAAATTTCATGTTATTTTAATTTTTTTTCACATTTTTAATATATTATATTTACATGACAAAAATTATAAATGATCATAAATTAATATCCCTTTTGATCACTATATATTAAAAAGTACATTTTAAAAGAATAAATTATCATTAATTCAAATAACTTTCAGTTTATTAAACTGATTTTTAAAAAAATGTATACAAACACAAATTTTATTACAATAACTAATTTCCATTAACTGACTTTTGCTAAATAAACTTTTAATAAACTGAAAACTAAATACACACTGACCCTCTAAAAAAAACACATTATTTCATTCACTGCAATTTTATGTATAGTGTAACATATGCTATTGATTCCTTATTATACCATCATTAAAAGGTTAAGAAGATAGAATGTATTATTAAATTGTGTATATTTATTCTATCAAAAATTATGTATATTTAATAAAATAAATTTTAAAATTTATTAATTTTTTAAACAGTGATGATAAATTTTATAGTTGTTTTAATTATGATAAAATATGTTAAAAATGACTTATAAATTAGCGTGTACAATTTTAGCAATGAATGTTGACAATAACAAGTGTAATAAATTAAAAGCAAAATATTTTACTTGGGTGCTTATCGCTAAATAGAGCCAGTAATTTAAGCTAAACCTGACAGATCGGCTTGAATAAATTCAAAAAAAAAATTAGAATTTAGCTCAGTGAAATTATACTTTTTTAATGCTTGGGCCTATTAGGACAAGTTCCTTCAAGTTTGAATTTTGCCCGTATACTCAAATATAGAAAAAATTATTTTGAAAATTATATAAAATATTAATGAATTCTTTAAATTTTAAGTTATTTTATACTAAGACACCATATATTGGGTACATAGTTATAAGTTTTTTTAAATTGAAAATATTTATAATGTCATATGTTTATTATTTTTAATTTATAAAATATCTCAAAATAATATATAAAATGTATTTTAATACTCTCTCTGTTAAAAATGTAAGGCATTTTTTAAAAAGTTAGTTGTTAAAAAATATAAAGTATTTTTTATCTTTCAAGGTGTAATTATTATCTTTTTTTCAAAAGTGCTCCTATTGATAATGACTTTATATTTATCGTAGGGTGTTTAATAAGAGTAAATATAAAAAGATGGTTGAAAAGTAGGTAATTACTTTTTTGGGATGAGATTTGTTCAAAAATGCCTTGCATTTTTGAATAGAGGGAGTATTAATTGTTAAATTTTAAGACCCACATATTTTTTAGAAAAAGTGAGTCTTTTACATCGTTTAAGTATCCCAAAAAATATACTTTATGTTTTAGAAAATAAAAATAATTAATTTAAAAGTAAGAAGTTAAATTAAAATTAATTTAAAAAAGAAACAAATTGACAACTAGGTATTTAAGCCAACTCAAAACCTGAAGAAATTCAGGTGGGCTTGGTCATCCAAGTTATTCAAGAAGTTCGAGCCTATTTGGACCAAACTCAAATAAACTTGATTCGCTTGAAATATTAGCTCTACTGCCAAATGATACATACTCTTTCAGTTCTATTTATAAGGCGTGAAAGGAATTTTTTTTGTTTGAAGCATTTAATAAGAGCAGAAATGTAAAGAGAAGTATTAAAAATTGACAAGTGTTTTATAAATAGAATTAACAAATTTATTTTCTCTCTATCTTATAAATAGGATGAGAGGAGTATTTTTTAACAAAGTATATGAGTGTGGGTGGAGGGATCAGGGAGCATTGTCTAGGGTGACAATTAAGGCCATGTTTAGTATCAAATAATCATAGATTTAAAAATGGAATTGGAATAAGAATCCTGGATAAGTGTTGTTTAGTATAGCCTAATCACAATTCTTAAGAATCTAGATTCAAGGAGAAAAGCCAAAATTAAATTCCATCCTCTTAGCCATGAAATTGGTCCAATTCTCTAGAATTAATTTCTATGCCCACCTCTACCCCTATCATCATCTCCTTCTCGTTGCTAACTGTCATCCTCCACCCTTACCCATTATCATTTGCATCTAGCCATCATAGTGTTAGGCTATGACCACCTTCATCGTTAGCGACAACACACCTTTTAGATCGATCAACGACTTCCACTCAATAGGTGATTGCTATCTTCGACCTCTTCTCCAAGGTTCTTAGATCACGATGATGTTTCTTTTGACTGTTTAAGAGCCTTTGTAGCAAAATTGCTCAGTAACATATCACAAAGATGAT